GGCTCAGGTGAGCTTAACGAGGCTCAGGTGAGCTTAGAGAGGCTCAGGTGAGCTTAACGAGGCTCAGGTGAGCTTAGAGAGGCTCAGGTGAGCTTAACGAGGCTCAGGTGAGCTTAGCCAGGCTCAGGTGAGCTCAGCCAGGCTCAGGTGAGCTCAGCCAGGCTCAGGTGAGCTCAGCCAGGCTCAGGTGAGCTTAGCCAGGCTCAGGTGAGCTTAACGAGGTTTCAGGTGAGATTAAGAAAGTGCAGATGAGATTAATGAGATACAGGTGAGATACAGGTGAGGTTAATGAGAGACAGGTCTAATACAGGTGAATTACAGGTGAGATACAGGTGAGGTTAATGAGATACAGGTGAGGTTAATGAGATACAGGTGAGGTTAATGAGATACAGGTGAGACACAGGTGAGTTACAGGTAAGACAGGTGAGATACAGGTGAGATACAGGTGGGACAGGTAAGGTGAATTACAGGTGAGAATTACAGGTGAATTACAGGTGAGACACAGGTGAGTTACAGGTAAGACAGGTGAGATACAGGTGAGACAGGTGAGGTGAATTACAGGTGAGAATTACAGGTGAGACACAGGTGAGACAGGTGCCACATTCACCTGTATGGGCGTGCCTCACCCACCCAGGTGAGCTCACCTGTCCAGGTGTGCCACATTCACCTGTATGGGCATGTATTTCACCTGTATTTCACCTGTATTTCCCACCTGTACGGGCGTGCCTCACCTGCCCAGGTGTGCCTCACCCACCCAGGTGAGCTCACCTGTCCAGGTGTGCCACATTCACCTGTATGGGCGTGTATTTCACCTGTATTTCACCTGTATTTCCCACCTGTACGGGCGTGTCTCACCTGTATGGACGTGCCTCACCTGTATGGACGTGCCTCACCTGTATTTCTCACCTGGCCAGGTGAGCTCACCTGTCCAGGTGTGACACATTCACCTGTATGGGCGTGTCTCTCCCCTGTATTTCACCTGTATTTCACCTGTATTTCACCTGTATGGACGTGCCTCACCTGTACGGACGTGCCTCACCTGTATTTCTCACCTGGCCAGGTGAGCTCACCTGTCTCTTGAGCTCGGGGTGCCGGGCCTGGATGCGTTTGAACTCGGCGATCTTGGCCTCGTCCACGTCCTCCTGCAGCTCCCAGGTGCTGTCCTCGTAGGGCAGCGAGCACCACTTGACCAGGTAATACACCACGGGCTGCGCACACCTGCCCAGGTGAGGGACTCACCTGGCCAGGTGAGGGACCCACCTGGGCACCCGTCTGACCTTACCTGGGCACCCATCACACCCCACCTGGGCAGGTGAGGGACCCACCTGGGCAGGTGAGGGACCCACCTGGGCACCCGTCTGACCTCACCTGGGCACCCATCACACCTGGGCACCCGTCTGACCTCACCTGGGCAGGTAACTGACCCCAAAATCCCCTAAGATCCCCAATTTTGGGCTTTACTCCCCCAAAATCCCCAATTTTGGACTTTTCTCCCCAAAAATCCCCAAATTTTGGACTTTTCTCCCCAAAAATCCCCAATTTTGGACTTTTCTCCCCTAAAATCCCAAATTTTGGACTTTTCTCCCCAAAAATCCCCAATTTTGGACTTTTCTCCCCAAAAATCCCCAATTTTGGGCTTTTCTCCCCAAAAATTCCCAATTTTGAACTTTTCTCCCCAAAAATCCCCAATTTTGGACTTTTCTCCCCAAAAATCCCCAAATTTTGGACTTTTCTCCCCAGAAATCCCCAATTTTGGACTTTTCTCCCCAAAATCCCCAATTTTGGGCTTTTCTCCCCAGAAATCCCCAATTTTGGACTTTTC